TCTCTTACTCATATTCGAGGTACGCATGCTCACGTGTATGCATTAGCTTTTCTTATTCAAATGTTCAAATAAGGACATGATAGCTAGGAATGGGGTTCGTGATGAACCATGAAGATAGTTTAGCATCCTTTGCCAAGTCTATTCCTAATATGTCCATATTTTCTGTACATGTGGCCATTTTATATAAACCACATTCTTGGCCAACATTCTATATGTATTTCATCTATATCCTCATTGGTTAAAGGGTTGAAACTCCCCTCGACATATGCCTATATAATATCTTTGTATCTATGAATAAAGTAGAAGTATTGAGAATACCATTTGATGTGTGTTTTCTTGCTTCCCGGCCGTTATACGCTTTGAGGGACTGAGAAGTTTTCACGGTGGCAAAGAGAATCTATAGGGACCGATTGTTAATGATTTCTAACACAGAGGCATGCATTTAAACCCAGTTTTAATTACATCAACCAAACAACTTACAGTTTCTAACAGGCCGTTGAATTCAATTTGATAAAAATGTCCATGAAATGAATCTACAGTATGTGAGCACATTAGGGGAGATAAGAGCAGAACCTAACGCCTGCTTAGTTGAAACAGAGTTTAAAAGTTTCCACACAGGCTAGCCTGACCAAACCGTATTTACTGGTCGCCATATCAGCACTATTTAGAGAAAATAAATGTCAATATTTGACAATCCTTGAACATTTATTTAACCATAGTAAAAGTGCATTTCCTAATGAAGTCAGTTTTATGTTTAAATGTAGTGTTTATTTAAAACAAGGCAAAACTGTTGTTTACTCCTTTTGCTACTATTGTACTGTATGTCGGTTTTGCTGCTGTACAGTACAGCTCAAACATCTAGTGCTCAGGATCATGTTCATCATGTTCACGTTCACATATGTACATGTGAGCTTGCAGACATAAAGATCTCAGATCTGTACAGCGCTCTCTTCCACCCTCAATACCACGACTGAGCTGAGACCCTTGAGCAAGAACTGAAACCCAACTGCTGCCCACTGCTCCGTGTGTGTGTGTGTGTGTGTGTGTGTACACACGTTTTTGTGACAAATGAGGACATACATTTGTATAATGACAAGGGTATGACATAGGTATTACAAGGAGAAGGTGACTTTTCAGGACATTACCCCATGTCCCCACTTTTCAAAACGCTTATAAATCACACAGAATGGAGTGTATTGAAAATCTGAAATAGCACAAAGTTTCCTGTGAGGGGTAGGTTTAGGAGTAGGGTTGGTGTAGGGCAATATAATATATACGGTCTGTACAGTATAAAAACCATTACGCCTATGGGATGTCCCCACTTTTCACAAAAACAAACCTGTGTGTGTGTGTATGTTTGTGTTCACTGTATGTGTGTTCACTGTGTGTGTGAGTGAGTGAGTTTGTGTGTGAGTGTGTGTGTGTCTGTGTGTTCACTGTATATGTGTGTGTGGGGGTGGATGTGGGTGTGTGTGTGTGTTCACTATTCACTGTTCTGTGTGTGTGTGTGTGTGTTCACTGTATGTGTGTGTGTGTGGGGGGGGGTGGTTGTGGGGGTGTGGCTGTGTGTGTGTGTGTGTGTGTGTGTGTGTGTGTGTTCACTACTCACTGCTGTGTGTGTGTTTGTGTGTGTGTGTGTGTGTGTGTGTGTTTTCACTACTCACTGCTGTGTGTGTGTGTGTGTTCACTACTCACTGCTGTGTGTGTATGTGTGTGTGTAGGTGTGAGTGTGTTCACTGTGTGTGTGTGTGTGTGTGTGGGTGTGTGAGTGAGTGTGTATTCACTGCTGTGTGTGTGTGTGTGTGTTCACTAGTCACTGCTTTGTGTGTGTGTGTGTGTGTGTGTGTGTGTGTGTGTGTGTGTGTGTGTTCTCCACTCTCT